TTCTCTAGCCATGCTGGTGGTCTGGAAACCAGTCTCCACTGATAGGACAATAAAACCAAGGCATCCCCAGCAACTAAAATAATCAAAAAACAAAAGCATTAACTTTTAGCCTGGTAGCTTTCTATCATGACATTGTTCTTTGAAAGGGCAATGAAATTTCCCAAGCTTATAAATGCCACAAAATCACTCATTGTTAGAAACACATTTTTTATTTGGAGTAGATACAACAAGAAATTTCCCAACATTATTGCCCTCTGGGGGTGATTATTAAGTAAATTAACCAAGAGAAGCTAACATCAGATAGTAACTTATGTGCCAGCCTACAATTAAAAAAAAAACAACTTTAGATTTATAGAAGAGTTGCAAATATAGTACAGAGAGTTCACGGATATCCTTCCTCCAGCTTCCCCTAACATTAACATGTTATATAACCATCGTTCAATGACTGACACTGTGAAATTAACATCAATATAATACTATTAACTGAACTACAGATTTCCTTCTGATTTCACCAGTTTTTACATTAATGTCTCTTTGGTTCCAGGATCCAGTCCATGTTACACTTCATCATTATGTCTAAGTCCCCATTCAATCTGTGATACTTGGTCATTCCTTGTTTCTCATGACCTTGACAATTTTGAATAGTACTGGTCAGGTATTTTGTAAAATATCCCTAAATTGGGATTTTTATGATATTTTTGTCATGATTAGACTAAATTTATGGCTCTGGGGAAATAATACCACATAGGTGAAGTACCCATTTTATTGCATCTCATCAGGGGTACAGTATATCAACATTACTTATGACTGATGTTGTTAACTTTGATCACTTGGATCAATTAGTGTCTGCCAGATTTCTCTACTGTAAAGATACTATTCTTATCTTTATAGACTCTGTTAGGAGAACTTAGTAAGTCCAATCCACACTCAGGGAGAAGGGAAAGCTAATTACAAAAAAATTTCCCAGAGTAATATTTTTTTCTTTTAACCAGGAAAACATAAAATAAATATTTAATATCTGACTTTATCTCAGGAATTGAGGAAACCACATCTAGGTGTGTGCCTTTTTGCTCTTCCTATAATGGAACCCAGCTTCATAAACATGAAATGGTTTTACCCTGATTTGTAATGTAAATGGATGATTAATCCAAGTGAGGTAAAAAGGGGGATAAGTGAGCATCAGTACCCACACTGCTAGATTTTACATATGCACATTTAATAAAAGACCCAATAGACACTTAAGCCTGCCCATCAGAACAGATATTTATAAGCAGGGAAAGTTCTGGGTTAGACTGTCTGCCTTGAGCCATTTGGAAATTGAACTAGCTGGAGCAGATTGCAAGATTTAGCCTATGAAAGAACAACTCTGGTTCTTTTTCAGCCTAAAGCAATTATCCAGCTGTTGGAAAGTTGAAATATTGGACCCAATTATGTTACCTAAGTTAAAATAAGCCCTACTAAGAATAGCTCACTCTATATATTCAGGTACATATATTATGCAAGAGACGTGACATTCCTATTTCTATATCTTATAAGTCGGCCTCAGAATCTTAACTGAAAATTAATTTGTTTTTAGTATGTTTTTTGGCTATTTGTTTTCCAATTTATTGCCTTCTAAGACTGTAACTTCCAGAAACATCCTTGACAAAGTCATCAATAACAAACTTCAAATTGTCCTGGATGGTTTGGCTGAGTGGATAGTGTCGGCCTGCAGTCCAAAGAGTCCTGGATTTGATTCTGGTCAAGGGCAAGTACCAGGGTTGCAGGCTCCTCCCAGCCTTGGGCCCTGGGGTGGGGGTGGGAGGAGTGCATGCTGGAGGCAACCAATCTATGTGTTCCTCTCACAATTGATATTTCTTTCTGTCTTTCCCTCTTCCACTCTCTCTAAAAATCAATGAAAAAATATCCTCAAGTGAGGATTAAAAATAATAATAAAAAAAACTAAAAACACACAAAAATACATATTTTGAACATAATATCTGTGGAGTTTGTCCTAAAACTGACAATATGTGTAAAAAAAAAAAAAGTCATTTACTCACACATGGTCCTATTTGATACATACTATACACCTGTATATATAGTACACAGGGCATGTAATATAGCAGTTCTATTTCAAAGCCATACAATTAGCAAATGACACATACAACTAGCAAGTGAAACATTTCTTCACTTCCTCCAGGCCCTTGCTCAGATACCTTGTTATCAAAGAAACCATTTCTGATCACCTTAAATAAAGGAGAATTTCCCTTTCCTTTTCTTCTTAACCTGCTTCCTTCTCATTATGGTATTTATTACCATTAGGTTTAGTCATTGTTTTATGATCTGCTTTATCCTCTAAAATGTGAGTAATACTAAAGCAGGGACTTCATTTTGTTCAAAGCCCCTAAATCAAGTGCCTGACACATGGCAGATCTCAATAACTATTTATTGCTTAACTATAATCATGTTAATTGCCCAGCTAGTGTCATTATTTCATCCCAAGTCAGCCTCCCTTCCACATCTTGCTCATTCTGACCCAATAATTCCATATCAGGGAAGATGCAAACTTCTTTTTGATTGTACACCAATTCTTAGGACCCTTGTATTTAAACTAGAAATTTTATACATGTTAGGGTTAATTGGCTAGTCAGAATGATTTAATAAGTATTTATGGTACACTTATTATATATACTCTTGGATAAGCAATTTACCCCAAAATCTTGAAGCCCAGGAAAGGTAAAATATTTGTAATTGTGGAGTTCTATGTTCAGACTTATTATGTACACCTGAGATTAATACAATGACATATGTCAATCACTATCTCAATTTTTAAAGGCTAGTTTTAAAAAAGAAGTTATTTGGTCTATCTATTATGTCAGAATAGAACATGTGCTTGCTTTTCACACTTTCTCTTCCCATCTTTCTGTCTTACCTCTTCACTTCCATAAGCCAAATTTCTAAACATTGTTCTAGATTTCTCTTTCCCTCATCTTCCAAATTCAATCTCTTTGCAAAGCTCAAAAATTTTATTTACAAGACTTATCCCGAGACCCTTTGCTTCCATCAACATCACCTACATAAATCCTAGTCCAAAGACCATTCCATTTGCTGAGACTGCCAGCAGGTTTTCCTAAATGCTTTCCTTGTCTTCCTATTTCCCACCTAGCAGCCAGAACTGTCTTATAAAAGTGTAAGTTATGAATCACTGCTCTGCTTAAAAGCTTCAATGGGTTGTTCTCCCCTTCCCCCTACCACTACTAGATACCCCACTTATTACAGAAGACATTAAGTGGTAGATGAATAACAGCCAAATAAAGATATAGAGACAAAGGCAATTCTGTCCTCTGAGAGGTTGGGGCCCAGCGTGCTGGCACCTGAAAGCATTCTGCTTCCCCCACATGGAAGGTCTCCAATGGTTTCCTTATTTCATTCCTCTCTAAATTATTCCAAACCCTACCTTTTTAACCTAGAAGCCCTATTTTATAGGATCCTGCACACAAGTCAAATCATCTCTCTTAGAGTTTCCCTCTTTTTCATATACTACCCTGTTTCCCCAAAAATAAGACAGTATCTTATATTAATTTTTGCACCCAAAGATACACTAGGTCTTATTTTCAGAGGATGTCTTATTTTTCCATGAAGAATATGGTACACATTTATTGTTAAATGAAAATAAAGGAAATTTATTACCTGTATACGGTACGATGGTACAGTAGTTGTCAACACAAACCAGACAAACTGTGAATCCTACAGTATCAAAAATTTACTCATTTATTCAATGACAATCATGTCATCATCTTCTGGAACATCATCATAACAATCCAATTCCTGAATTTCCTGGTGAATTTCTTGTGAAGTTAATTTTCATTCTGAGACAGAGCCTAGGGGGGCCTTATTTTGGGGGGATGCCTTATATTTCACTCAGAAGGAAACCTGTAAGTAGGTCTTATTTTCGGAGGATGTCTTATTTTAGGGGAAAACCCAGTAGTACTCTAACCACACTGGCACTATAAACTCTTACCTGCCCCAAAATATTGGTACTAGCAACTCCTTGTCTTTCAGGTTTCAGTTTAAAATTTCCCTGCCCAGACGGCCTTCTCTAACTACTAGATGTAAAGCACTCCCCTTTCTTCCCCTCTCAGTCGGAGAGTCAATTACATTCAAGGATTGAGCATTGCACAACTGCCATCTGGTATTTTCTTCATCTGTTGTGTATTGTCCGGTTCCTTTCAGTACTCTCGATGAAGACCGGGACCTGGCTTTATCAGCCGATTTTATAACCAAGTCTAAATCCAACATTAAGCACTCAAGAAAGTTGTTGAATGCACACATTTTTGCCTCATTTCTTGGCGTCTTATGTAAGATCACAGACATTTTCCAAGACAACTTTAGCTCATTGTGCCCCATTTACATTCTCCCAATCTGATCTCATTGCTTCAACCCACAAAAGGGAAGAGGAGACGGATTGGGGCTTCCCTATTTCTTGGGCTCAGTCCTAGTAGTTCAAAATCATCACATCATTAAGGGGCAAAACAAAGGCGGCAGTAAACACTCCTGAAATGAACAGCAGTCATTTCTTACTTAAAATCTTAGGAAGAGAGAAAGACACAGTTCACTAAATCAGAAGGAGATAAGAGAAGGAGCTCACACCGTGTTGTAGGTATTCATGTTTCTGGACGTGGGTACCACATTTTGTCTTGATAGACACTTAAAATTTTTTTTTAAATGCGGGATGGAATGAGGTAGGGTAGGGGCGAGAGCAAGGAAGGTCGAGAGGCGCGAACGGAGAACTAGGAAGAAAAGGGAAGGACCGAGAGAGCAGTACAAAAGCAGCCTCGGATCTCGCCGGGGATGCAAGCGTTAAGGGGAGGCGGGGAGTGACGCGGTTTGCGTCTGGAGCGGCTCTTTGGAGTCCACAGCATCCAACGCCGGAGCCTCGCCTTCCTTTCTCCCTCTGCAGACATCGAGACACAAAAAGAGAAGCGGACCCCCTGGGCCAGCTCGAGGAACCCGCCCGTACCATGACCGAGACCACCAAGACCCACGTTATCTTGCTGGCCTGCGGCAGCTTCAACCCCATCACCAAAGGGCACATTCAGATGTTTGGTGAGTCCTCCCGCCCCCCCCCCCCCCCAGGCTGCTTCCGCCTCTCTCCGGTCCCGGCGCCGGTATTTTCCAGGGCGACTGAACCGGGAGGCGCGTGGCCCCTCGGAGGGGTCCGCTAGCTGATCCCGCTGGTCGGAGATCAGCCCTCTATTCCCGGCTCCGGGGAGGGGATGCAAACTGCGCTTTCCAGGCGTCACTTGCTCGGGCCAGATCCGGCTCTCGGGGTGGGGGCCGGGTGTGGAGTGTGTGTGTGTGGGGGGGGGGAGGAGGTGGGGGAGGGGAAGGGGCAAAGGTGAGTGTTGATTTGGGCTGGATGGGAGGTCGAGGTTGGAGAACTTGGGTGCGGCTGTGCGGTGGTTTGGCTCCTCGGCTTATGAGGATCGGGATGGGGGCAGAGGTTGGGGCACCGAGAAGCGGGGAGGAGGAGGAGGAAGAGGAGGAGGGGGTTGGAGATAACGTGCGGTTTGTTTAGGCTGGGCGGAAAGCTCCAAGGAGTTAAATGATGTAGATGCATCCGAGACACAAACATTACACTCGCAACAACCAGGAGCTGGTTCGTTTAGGGCTTGGGTGGTGGGTGGGGTGGAGGGGCAAGGAGGAAATGTTTGAGGGTGGTGCGCTGTGTTTTGCCCGAGGGAGGTGGGTGGTTGAATGAATGGGGCAGAGGAGGGGGGGGGGGAGGCTGGCCACCTTGGGTTTGGCTGGGGGGGGACCCGCTGCCCGGGTGGGGGCGGGGCGGCCGCTGCCAGAGGCCTTGCCCAGCTGGTGTTGCTGGATCTGGACCCAAGTTGGCTGACGTTCTTCCCAGGGCGGCGATGGCACCTGGGAGGCTTGCGGCGTGCGAGTGTGTGTATATGAGTGTGTGCGTGTGTGCGTGTGTGTGTGTGTGTGTGTGTGTGTGTGCGCGCGCGCACGCGCGCTCCCGCGATTTGGGGCGGGTGAGAGAGAGAGAGAACACCTTCACGCCGTTTGTTCCTTGGAGGCTTTGGGCTTGGAGAGAGAGGGAGCCAGCCGGCTCTTGGCTGCTGGTTTGGGGTTAGCAGGGGCGAGAGAAAGGGGATGGATGGCTGTCGGAGATCTCTAGCCCAAGCGGCTTTGCTGCAGCTCCGGCCAGACTCATAGGCGTGGGGTGTGCACGTTCAGACCCTGAGGGAGGGACGCGGAAGCAGGCTTAACGAGGGATTAGAAGTTGGGGGTGCTTTTCTTTTCTTTTTTTCCGGCACTGAGGGAAAGGAGAAGAGGAGAACGAGTAGGTTGTGGGATGGATGAGTGACCGTGGGAGGCGAACCGGGCGGTCAACAGGGCGCTATCCAGAGGCGGCGGTGCTGAAATGCAGGGTGTGCCGCGGGAGCTGGCTGTGGGCACACGTGTTTACCGGGAGCTCTTCTAGGGCTCTTTAGTGAAAGCCACGTCATATCGGCAAAGACTGCGAGAGGTGTCTTACACTAAAAACATTCTCTCTACACCTAAAGGATGTGTTGAACTGGGTCCGCTTATTAAAAACCTCACAGAAAGAATACAGACTTGCTTTGAACCAAGGGCAGATAGGTAGGCACATGTATAGAATCCAAGGAGGGGAACTGAGAGGTAGCCATCCTTTCCTCACCATCCCCTTCAGCTTTGAAAGGCATTTCATTAGGAGCGAATGCCAACTTACCCACTTAGCTAGTAAAGACTTTTTGTTAAGCACCAGGGTAGACCAGAGCATTTTATCAATTTTAAAGGAAAATCAGACAGAGCCTTGGGAAGACTGTACTTTCACTTTCTTTTGCTTCTGATGTCTTCAGCCTTCCCCGTCCTTTTGTCTCTATTCGTATTTCCTCTAGCCATTTTATGTGGGTGTTCTGTATTCCCTTCACTTGCCCAGATGGGGATGGACTTCCCTCTGGAACTTCTTGGTTCTAGGAATTTTTCCTGAGCCAGAAAACACTCCTCCTTCTTCCTGGGGCTGAGGGTGCAGTTAATTGTGTTTGTTTTGGGTTTGCAAGAGAGACAGATTTAGATAGAAAACCAAGGATTCTGTCTTGTGTCTGAAGAGAGTTTGGCAACAATAATACAGGCTTTTATTAAGTCAATGTTGACCTGTCAGTTCTTCATGACTTTAGAGGATAGAATATGTGGAAAAAGGAATGGATTACAATAGGGAGGTTTAGACAGCGAATAAGCAAAAAGAGACTTTTGACAGTAGTGACTATTTGCTTGTTATTGGAACTGAGGAAGAGAGTATCTGTCAATAAAACCTTTTGAGTGTCCATTAGTCACACGTAATCCAGAGAACAATGTGGAAGGAGAAAGTGGTATGCTCTCTATGCAAAAGTCTTTATTTAATTAGGTTAGGAGCTTATAACCTAATAAAGGATTTATTACATGTGCACGTGGGAAGGAAATAAGAACAAAATATATATTCAACTATTTTTTTGTATAAACTGTTATGGGAATCTTTGAGCTCATGATAAATATTGTAATTGATTTTTGTAGTTACTAGTTTACAAAGCCTTTATATGTTGTGTCACATTACTAATAGCAAACTTACAAGAAAGGCACCATTATCTCCATTTTACAAATGAAAAACTGATGTTCAAAGGCTAAGGGACTTTTAAAAAATATATATTTTATTGATTTTTTACAGAGAGGAAGAGAGAGGGATAGAGAGTTAGAAACATTGATGAGAGAGAATCATTGATCAGCTGCCTCTTGCACACCCTCCACTGGGGATGTGCCCGCAACTATGGTACATGCCCTTGACCGGAATCGAACCCAAGACCCCCAGTCCGAAGGCTGATGCTCTATACACTGAGCCAAACTGGCCAGGGCCTGAGGGACTTTCTTAAGTGGCTTAAGTAACACGGAGAATATGTAGCAACTTGAGACTTTCTGAGTCCACTTGCAGAGGCCTCTGGACTATACCAAAGGCAAGGACAAGTGCTCAGTAATCTGCTGACTGCATAATTCTATGAACTCTATTTCCTTCAAACATATACTAATGGAGATTGGAAGCAAATTTGCCATCAACTAAATGAGATTCCTAAATATGCATTTCCTTAAGAGCTCCTTCCCACTTCTAAAGAAAACAATTACCCACAAACTATTTCCTTCTCTTAAATGGCTTTTTAAATTTCTTCCCCAACAATACAGAAATAATTGAATGCAATAAAATTATCAACAGTTTCTTTAAGGTGCCTAAAATTTGTAATGGAAACATTTTTTTAAAGAGCTAAACAGAACTTTGGTGTTAGACACTTTTAATAGAGCTGTGTTTTGAAATGCAATTGTTAACCAAAGAAAAAAGACTATCAATAAAAAGAGAGGTGGCATTCAGAACTAAAAACTCACTACGTTTGTAAAATAGTAGTTGTACAGTTGTCAATATTTGTAAAATATTTTTTTAAATATATTTTATTGATTTTTTTTACAGAGAGAAAGGGAGAGGGATAGAGAGCTAGAAACATTGATTAGAGAGAAACATTAACCAGCTGCCTCCTGCACACCCTCCCCCCACACTGGGGATGTGCCTGCAACCAATGTACATGACCTTGACCAGAATCGAACCTGGGACCCTTCAGTCTCCAGATTGATGCTCTATCCACTGAGCCAAACCAGTTTCAGCTGTAAAATATTTTAAAATGAAAATTTTTCTTTACTCTGAAATGGAGCTGATATTATTCCTATTTGTGGTTTTAGAAACATATAGTAAAGAAATATTTGTGTAGAGATACCTGTCACCTATATACTGTAATTAAAATGTTTTCAGGGCTAAATAAAAATTATTTGGAAAAATAAGCCCATGATCTAACAATGTTTTACTTCATGGGTCTACCTTATTACATAAGGAGATAATGTTATGCTAGTTTTTTTATGCTAGTTTTTTAAACATGTACTTTCTTAATTGACAATTATATAGAGATTCTATTTCAGTATTATACTATATATATATATATATATATATATATATATATAGTTAAATTTGTCAATAATCCTACCACTGAGAAATAAGATAGCAAATTAAATAGAAAAGTGAGAGAACAACTGATCAGATTAGTTTTGTCATAAAAAAAATAAAGGAATTGAGGGATTTGATCACAGCAGAAATGTATCTTGGTTTTGGATGATTGCAAAATAATTGGATTTCCCAATTTTTCTATTTCAAAATATTTTTGCTTTGAACCATTGGGTCTTTTGAAAAGAGACATGAACCAATTTGTAACTCTCAAAGGGTAATGAAGATGGCTCTCTCTATTTGTTGTGGAAGTGGAAATGCAGCCCTTATTGCTACAACTAGAAGTCAAATGAAAAATGAATTTGAGTTGCTACTAATATGTAAAGAGTAACTGTCAGAAATTGAGAAATTGTTTAATATGCTTGCAATGACTATTTTAAAGGCACACATTTGCTCCATAATAGTTGTTAAAGTAAATAAGAAAATAAGTGAATGTATATACTCTTATTCCAGATAGAACAATCAATCACACATAAGAGCTGAGATGGTGAGACAGCCATGACATATTAGAACTAAGAAAAGTTCAGGATGGTTCAAGAGAAAGGGAATGAGAGATAAATCTGGGAAAATAGGTGGAAATATGATAAATTATGAAGACTTACAAGTCATGTTAAAGAATTAGATTTAATCAAAATTAAATGAATAATCTCTGCTTGGTGTTAGGCAATAGTTGTGAAAGTAATCTATACATGACTGAGAAAGAGAATGAAAACTCAGTTTTGAAAGTGTTTCTTTAAAAAGATTGAAGTCTAAATTTTAAATATTATCCCCTAAGACATCAATAATGGTCCTTTAATATATATATTTAATGATACTGTGAAATATACACTTTTTGGTACAATTCTCATTCATTTCTAAAGCATTTCAAATCATCTCAAATAGCTCAAAAATATCCTAAGGACACAAAGGAATGCATTACATATTTCTTCATTACCAATTTTGTTTTTAAACGATAACACAAATTTTGGTAAAACAAAGACATTTAAAGTGATTATTTAGGATT